TAGATAGATAGATAGATAGATAGATAGATAGATAGATAGATAGATAGATAATTAGGTGAAGATAGATAGATAGATAGATAGATAGATAGATAGATAGATAGATAGATAGATATGATGGATAGATAAAGATAGATGATAGACAGATAGATATGGATGATGGATGGATAGAGAGAGAGATGATGAATGGATAGATATAGATGATAGATAGATTAGATAGATAGATAGATAGATAGATAGATAGATAGATAGATAGATAGATAGATAGATAGATAGATAGATAGATAGATAGATAGATAGATAGATAGACAGACAGACAGACAGACAGATATGGATGATGAATGGATAGATATAGATGATAGATATAAGATAGATAGATAGATAGATAGATAGATAGATAGATAGATAGATAGATAGATAATTAGGTGATGATAGATAGATAGATAGATAGATAGATAGATAGATAGATAGATAGATAGATAGATAGGACTGATAGAGAGGAGGGGGGAATGTATGGATAGATATAGATGAGAGGGGGGGATGGATGGATAGATAGATAGATAGATAGATAGATAGATAGACAGACAGACAGACAGACAGACAGACAGACAGTTGTAAAACGGCTGGTCGTAAGTTCGAGGACTAGCTGTGTCCCCCATTTCCCAACCACCCACCGTCTCGGTCTAGATGCCTTGGGCCAATTCAGCCGGGTGGACTTCCATTCCCAGAATTCCCCCAGCCAGCAGGTGCTGGGACTTGAAACCCAGAAAGTTTCAAGTTGCCCAGGCTTTGAGCAACTCTGAACCGTCGTTAGTCGAGGACTCCCTGTATTTTAATAAAATCCACCCGGCTTACCAGCTTTTGAGCCACGAAGGAGTAATGGCTGAAGGATTGCGCCAATGCGAGGAAGCAGACTTTGCACCCGGCTGCGGGAAGAAAGAAAGAACAAAAAAAAAAAAGAGAGAGAGACTTTACACCGAGTCCTCAACTTACGACTTGCGAAGATTGATGTTGCTGAGCGAAACATTCCTCCCGCGCGTTTTGCCCCGTTCCACGACTTTTCTTGCCACGGTTCTTAAACGAATCGCTGCCGTCGTTCCGCGAGTCACACGGACGTTAAACGAATCCGGCTTCCCCATCGCTTGTCCGGCGGTCGCAAAAGGGGAATCACCTGAGCCTGGGACCGTCATAAATTTGAGTCGTTTGCCGGGCGTCTGAATTTCAATCCACGGGACGCCGGGACGCTGCGACCGTCGTAAATACGAGTCGGTCGCCAAGCATCTGAATTTCGATCATGTGACCCCGGGACGCTGCGACCGTCGTAAATACGAGTCGGTTGCCCAGCGTCTGAATTTCAATCCACGTGACCCCGGGACGCTGCGACCGTCGTAAATACGAGTCGGTTGCCGAGCGTCTGAATTTTGATCACGTGACCCCGGGACACTACGACCGTCGTAAATACGAGTGGGTCGCCAAGCGTCTGAATTTTGATCCTGTGACCCCGGGATGCTGTGACCGTCGTAAATACGAGTCGGTTGCCAAGCGTCTGAATTTTGATCCCGTGACCCAGGACGCTGCGACCGTCGTAAATACGAGTCGGTTGCCAAGCGTCTGAATTTCGATTGTGTGACTGAATATATGCTGCAACGGCCGTAAGTCTGAAACACGGTCCTTTTTTTTCAGGGCCCCAAACAAACGGTCGTAGGTCGAGGACTGCCTGTGTCACAATTAAAATCTACCAAACCTTTTGAAATATTTAAACCCGGGAAAACCCCTTAAAACGGATCGGGAGAACGGTCCGAAGTCCCCGTTTTTCACCGCCGTCGTGGCTTCCAACGGTCACTAAGAGAAGCGGTGTGAGCCGAGGGCCCCCTGCGCCCATTTTTAATTCTGGAGGTGAAGGGGGACGCCTTCGCAACGACGTCGTGGAGATGGGTTTCGGAGTTGTCCCTTCCCGGCTTACCTCTGAGGTAGAAGGAGAGAAAATGGTGGACCAGGAAGCCGGCGTCCGTCTTTGTGGCGCAAAGCAGCGTCAATTGGCTCTAAAAAACAAATAACAGAGAGATTTATTTATTCTATTTTAAAGGAAGAGATGATAAAATTAAATATGTATGCATAGTTTATCTATCTGTAATATAGATTGATACATACAGATGATAGATAGATAGATAGATAGATAGATAGATAGATAGATAGATAGATAGATAGATAGATAGATAGATAGATATAAGAGATGATAAAATGAAATATAAATATGCATAGTTTATAATAGATATAAGATAAGAGATGATAAAATGAAATATAAATATGCAGTTTATAATAGATACAAGATAAGAAATGATAAAATGAAATATAAATATTATGCATAGTTTATATAGATATTGATACATACAGATGATATAGATAGATAGATAGATAGATAGATAGATAGATAGATAGATAGATAGATAGATAGATAGATGGATAGATACAGATAGATATAAGAGATGATCAAATGAAATATAAATATGCATAGTTTATAATAGATAGATATAAAAGATGATAAAATGAAATATAAATATTATGCATAGTTTATAGATAGATAGTGATACATACAGATGATAGATAGATAGATACAGATAGATATAAGAGATGATAAAATGAAATATAAATATGCATAGTTTATAATAGATAGATATAAGATAAAAGATGATAAAATGAAATATAAATATTATGCATAGTTTATAGATAGATATAGATATTGATACATACAGATGATAGATAGATAGATGACAGATAGATATAGATATAGACAGAGCCTTTTTTGTCATAGAACGTCCAGAACGGAGTTCCGGCATCTTTTTTGGATGGAACCTTGTAGGGTAGGCAAGGCGGGTTGTATGACGTGTGTGAGTTCCGGCACCTTTTTAATTTACAAAAAAGCACTGGATATAGAGAAGATGTAGATGGATAGATATAGATAGATATAAGAAAGATAAAATGAAATATAAATATTATGCATAGTTTATAGATATAAGATATGATAAAATGAAATATAAATATTATGCATAGTTTATAGATAGATAGATAAGATAGATATATAGAGAATAAATGACAAATAGATAGATAGATAATTGATACATAGATGATAGATAGATATAGAGATAATGACTGATAGATAGATATTGATACAGAGACAATGATAGATGATAGATATATAGAGAATAGATGACTGATATATAGATATATAGATATAGATATATAGATAATATAGATATAGATATATAGATATAAGATAGATATATAGATATAAGATAGAGATAGAGATAGATGATAGATATATAGAGAGATAGATATAGACAGATTAAATTAAATAAAATAAATTAAATTAAATAAATAAATAAAATAAAAGATGATAGAGATGGAGATATATAGATAGAGATATATAGATGATATAGAGATAGATATAATGACAGATAGATAGGTGATAGATAGATAGATAGAGAGATACAGAGAGATAGATAGATAGATAGATAGATAGATAGATAGATAGATAGATAGATAGAGAGAGAGAGAGAGAGAGAGAGAGAGAGATAAATAGATAGATAGATAGAAATAGAGCTAAAAATCCGACTCTTGGGTAAGTCCATGTTATGTCGAAATAATTGCGATCACCAAGAGGGGATAAATATGCTCATAAATATTTTATCCCCTCTTGGTGATCGCAATTATTTCGACATAACATAGATAGATAGATAGATAGATAGATAGATAGATAGATAGATAGATAGATAGATAGAGAGAGAGAGAGAGAGAGAGAGAGAGAGAGATAGTTCAATTGATAGATTAGATAGATAGGTAGGTAGGTAGGTAGGTAGGTAGGTAGGTAGGTAGGTAGGTAGGTAGATAGATAGATAGATAGATAGATAGATAGATAGACAGACAGACAGATAGACTGATTAGATAGGTAGGTAGGTATAGACATGACAGATGATGGATGATAGATGGATAGATGATAGATAGCTAGATAGAGATGATATAGATATACAGACAGCTATATAAATATAAAACAAATTAACAGAAAATATAAAATGGGGGAAAAATGAAAAAAATAAAAGAGAGCCTAAAATTAAAAAAATATAATAATAAACTACAATAAAAATAAAATATACAATCCAATGTAACAAAACAGAAAATCATACAAAACTGAAATAAAATCTGTAATAAAATCTGTACATAAAATAGAATGTTAAATTAAATCCCATTATATTAAAATGCTGGGGGCCGAAGTCCCCACCTCTGAGCTTCAGAAGCAGAGTGGCACTACAACGCTCATCCTCCCCTGCCGGCTCAGTCAGAGAGCCTCAGGCAAGGGGCAACCCCAGTTTATCATTCTTCCCCCCCCCCATCAATCCAGGCTTGCAAAAGGAATCCTGGTTCTGTTTGAGCCAGGCCAAGGGGGCAAACCAGGAAAAAAAACTACAACTCCCGGCATGCCTCGCTCCGAAACAAAGGCGCGCAAGGCCTCTTGGGAGCGGGGGGGGCGCAGCCCTCGTCGGTCTGGCGCGGCGACGGGACCCGAGAGGGCCCAAGCCGCGCCGGGACGCGTTGCTCACCCGCTCCGGCTGCTCCACGGAGACGCCGAGCAGCTCGTTCAGCGCCGCGAACATCCCGCCGGGCGGACGCGCTTGCCCTCCGGCCCGCGGGAGGAATCTCGTTCGGCCGAGCGAGCGAGCGAGCGGGGGAACGACGGCGGCAGGCTGCGGCCTACTCGGCGGGCCTCACTACGCATGCGCGCTTTTGGCGCGGCGCCGTTCTTATGCTCGGCTGTGCTCGAGTGTTGTTCGTTTCGCCCTCTGCCGGCCGGACAGCGGCACTGCAGCTTGGGAGCAGAAATTTCCCAGACTTGGCAAAAGAAATTAATATTAAATCGTTTCATTCTTTAATTGAATGAAATATTACATTTCTCTTTCGTCGCTTTTCTGCTGTGTTTTGTTGTCAGGTTGTGTTGGCAAACAGCCTTGCTCAGCCTTGTGTCTCCAATTCAGAAATCCAAAATATGAATAAACATATAAAGAGTACTACAAGTTGGGAAATAAGAGAACTTTTAGGAAATAGGGACTTCCGGTGGCAGGCGACTTCGTCGGTCGCAGCTGTTTGCTGCCTCCCGCCTGTTTTGCGTAAAAGCCGGTTTGACAGCTAGCATCTGCTGTCAAACGGCTTGATACCTTTCCCCTGGGTATAAGGGGATAGGTGAGCTGCCCGGGGTAGGAGTTGAGTTCCCGAGTCGTCCTATATGGACGATGTAGGCGAGAACTCCTCCGGAGCCCCGAGGATTCTCCGCGATCCAGGACGCCTTCGCTTCGGCGAAGCTAGAAGCCGCCGCCACTGCTGCAACTTGAAGTTAATTGTGAGTTTTACTTGTAAGCAGACGAAC